CTTAACCCCATTGATAATTTTTGAAGTCTCTTTTCCATTATGTCTGTCCTCTCTCTATATCAATTTGGTCATCTTTAGTATTAATAAGCTATTTTTAATATATTTGGTTAAAATTAACAAAAAGTTTTATGATTCAACCCTATTTATAAATATAATAAACAAGTTTTTAACTTTATTTCTTTTAAATATACATTCTTTAAAACTATTTTTCTTTCACCAACATTTGATACATGGTGGAAGGAAGAAATTGTGATAAAAAAATTAATAATATGAATTATAAATAGGATTAAGAAAGTTTTTTCTCCCCCTCTCTTGTAAATAAGATTGGAGAAAGTACTTCATCTTTCTTAATTTTCATCTCTCTCTACTTCTCTTGCTTTTTTATAACATCCTAAGTTTCCTCATTAGTAATTATCTGTATTTTCAAGGGTAATTTGTTTAATTTAGATAAATTGTTATTTAGTGAGATTTATGGAGACTAATATAATTTTTGAATCCTTGGACAGCCTCAGAAGAGGACTAGGTTGAGGTTCAAGCAGGCCATGGCATGGAAAGAAGTTTAAAATTTTGTGGGGCTTTCTGTGCCACGGTGCACGTGCAAAATCTACACTTATCATATCACAGAAACAGATCGAAAACAGAAGAGAGAAGAAGGAAAAATGAAAGAGTGACAAAGGAGAGCTTTTGGTCTACTAGAGCACGATCCCTAGGCTACTTTGAGGGCATTTGGAGCTTGAATCACTATTGGGTAAGTTGTACATTCCCTCTTCTCCCTCCTTTATGCGAAAATCTGAACATTTGAGGTAATGAGAGCTTTGATTTTCAGTTTCCTTAGATTTAAACCGAATCCATTAGTTTATTTAAGATTCTGGGGAGTTAAATCAAGCTTCTAACATTAAGTTTATGAGTTTTGTGGTGATTGAGAATTTTTGAAAAGGGTTTAGATGAACCTTAAGTATAATTTGAAGATTTTGAGACAATGTGGGACATTGATTAGCGATTTTAGTGTATTGGAATGTGTAATAGGATGGTTAGAGTGTGTGGTAATGGTTGATGTTGTTAGAAAAGAAATTTGGGTATTTTAAGCACTTAGAACCTAGTGAATTCGGAGTTATTCAGAGTGATAATTGATGATTGTCACTTATCAATATAGATTGAGTGTTGCTCGAGCCTTATCGTGCATATAAAACATGTGAAGCTAACATTGAGCCATGGTAACCCTTTTTGTGTGACAAAAGGTTGAGGTAACCATATAGTTTATTGTGGTTATTAACTGTTATAACTGTGTAGAAGAAATTGCAAATGATAAGGTTGTGGTTTTGAAGAGTTTTGTGCATAATTTGACATTGTAAATGATTTTTAGCATGAAAAAGTGTTTTGTAAATGGTTATTGTTTCTAATGTATATAAGTTTGTGATGTGAAAATGTGATGAAAAGTAGTGAAAATTGTGAAAGAGCATGATCATAGGGGGTGGAAGTTCACCCAAGATATGTGAAAATATGTGTGTGTGGGAGATATATGAGTGAAAAATCTATATGGTCAGGCTGTCACCATGGAACATCTGGTGCAGCATTATATGAGACTGTTATCATGGGACATCTGGGTAGTCTGGCAACTCCCTAGTACCCGTTAGGGTGCTGTTTAGAGTTAATGACGCCTTTATCACAAGTGTGTGAAGAGGGATTTAATTTTAAAGGCAAAAGCACTTAGCCTCTCTGTGTGACAAATCATGCGTGGGTACCATATGTATTCAAGCATGGAATGGAATGGTTCAAGCTTGAATTGGCTTGCTTAAGTTTAAGGCTCAGAAGTTCTAAGTGATGAATCCCATTCAAGCATAGTTCCTGAAGGACTCATAGGTGGATTAGATGAAGCCACAAACTCAATTTGACATGCTATGGCTAATTCAAGATTGTTTTATAAGGGAGTCATGCATGAATTAGATCACAAAATCCATTTAATAAAGAACAAAGCGTTTAGAGACTTTTCAAGCATGTTTTGGAATGGGATCATGCTTAATTTAGATCACAAAAGCCATTTAGTAAAGAATAAGGCTTTTGGAGGCCATTTCACATTTTTTTTGGAATGTCTCACATGTGGATTGAATCACAGAAATCATTTAATGAAGAATAAAGCTTCTGGAGGCCATTTCACATGTGTTTTAATAGGGGTCATGAATGGATTAGATCACAGAAATCATTCAGTGAAGAACAAAGCTTCTGGAGGCCATCTCACATGTGTTTTGGAAGGGACCACACGTGGATATGGACATCGCTAAGGTTGATACATGTGTATGCCTTATTCTGACCAACACATGTTTTGGAGGCGTTACAATATAGAAATTCTAAAGGATCTAACTCACTCAATGCAACTTCAAATCTCACAAATTATATATTTTGAAAAGCTCTTGAAGTCTAGCTTTCAATACAATAAGTTTCATTATTAAATTCAAAAAACTTTAGGAGATATTATCAAAACAGTGACTAAAGGTCAAAACCAAACACTATGTAGAATCAATATCTTAACATTCAATTTCTAGAATTCATATGTTTCTCTATAGAACTCCATTTTGAATAGATTAAGTATCAAAAATATGCCAAAGTCTATTTTTAAATGAGATATGTTTCACATTAAAAAGATTTAAACAGTGAGAGATATTTGGCTAGTCTCTCTCTCCCCCCTTCCCCTCTCCCCTTCTTGTTTTACATCGGAGAGATATGACTAAATATGACCAAAGGTCAAATATGATTTTCTACAAAATCACATTTCAAAGCATATATTTTAAATGTTCATAACTTTTTTAATTTAACTCAATTTGAGTAAATAGATTATCTTTGAAAACTTTATGGAGTTAGTGATAAAAAAATTTCAAAGAATGTGAAATATATATGATTAAATATGAAAATATGAATATAGAAAATTATATCTCACTTTGTCTTTTAAGAACTAAATTTGATTTAAAATATCTTGAGCTAATATTATATATATAAATCAATGAGTTTAACATAAAGATTTCTAGCCTAAGAATATTATGCCTATCAAGTCTAAGGCTTTAAGGTGTATCCAAGCTTGTATGAATATCTTGATTCTCTTTAAACTCTTCTTGGATCATCCTTCACTTTATGTTTTCCCATTTTGAGTGTGGTATGCAAGCTAATGATGACTTCAATTTCTTTCTCTTCATGCTCATTCTCATTTTTACTTTGGATAACGTTCAATGATATGATGTATACATAATGGCTAATCCAAGTATTAATATGCATATGAGTATAGATATGAAGGTTATGGTACTATGCATATAGAAAGCATTATATCAAATATATAAAAATAATACTTTGGATACCTTTAGATATAAACTCACTTTAAGATAAAAAAAATATTATAGTATAACTTTTATGTATATAAATCATTTTTTCATATCTCACTTAGTATGGAACAATATAAGTAAAAGTACTTTAAAATACTTGTTCCAAAATCATAGTTGACTACGATATATATATATATATATATATATGAAAACAATTAGATATAATTATAGTTAACTTATCTGTATTTGTCATTATTACTATGATATATATGTCCAACACTTTGGTTTTTGATTCTTGAATCCAAAAGCACTGAAACAAATCGATATTATTTGCGAATCTCTCATACCAATTATTTCTCGTGCTGCTGATCTCAGACCAATTCATGTTTGCAATCCTCTCATAAAAATTATTTCCAATCTTGCTTATCCTCATACCAGTTCATACCTTAGACTCTTGCAACTTAATCCCTATATTTTTATTTAATTAACCATTTAAAATATCAGTCCCTATATTTTTAAAAATAAAATTATAAAAATAAAAATTATGTTAAAATTTAGGACTGATATTTTAATTTAATAAACTAATTTAAAATATCAGTACTAAATTTTAACATAATCTTAATTTGTATGATTTTATTTTTAAATTATAAGGACTGATATTTTTAATGGTTAAAACTATATAGACTTAATTACAAGAGTCAAAATTCAAAGAGTGAGTTACAGTTGATTCAAAACTATAAGAAAAGAGCAGTAACAAGACAAAATTTAGGGATTGAGTAATAATTGAGTCAAAATCACAAAGGTCAAATAATTAATTTTTTCAATTTTTTTTATAGAAAGACAATTTATATGATAGAAATCATGCTGTTTCTTGATATAATTTATGTTTTAAAAGGAATCGATTATCTTTTTTTATAAGTGACTTTATATAAAAAATGATTCAATAATTACTTTTAAAAATTCATATATGAGAAAAAATATTTTTAAAGATGATATACTTAATAAAATAAATTAAAATTTTTCACGTATCAATAATTTATCTGGATCTTTTATTCTAGTGATATGATGAAAAATGACTTATTAGTAGTTAAACCCAAAAATAAAAATGACTGTCATGTTGGTATTGATGATAATAATCCCCCCACATGTCAGGTGTTGGAACTGTTATTGAGTGAGGAGTTTACACTTTACACAAGGTTCCTTCTCTAGATATACAAGTTTGGTAACTTTACCATAAATTATTGAGTAATCTTTGTTGTCACTTTAGAAAAGAAATTCTAGCGATTAAAGAGAGATGCTTTGCTTATTTGTATTTTAGTCTCTACCATTTAAATTTTTAAATAAGAACAATAATTTTTGTGAAGGCAAAACTAAAGTTGAGAACTTCAGTATGAAGGACCATATTATGGATAAAATATTTTAAAATGCCATAAAGTTACTTGTTTGCTGTATATATATTAGGATAAAACATATTTAATATATATTAAAAAACTAAATTATTTGAAAAGATGATACTCCTCCTATGTTTTTAAATTGATTTAGATTTACACATTAGATTGTGATTGTGATCTTGTGATTTGACATATCATAATTTTATTTATTTTTTTCTTTTTTTTAATCTTTAGCTTTGTTGTTTCTCTCACGTCTCGAAATATGACCCCACAGAGAGAGAGAGCGAAGGTCTGCCGCAACTCCATCCGCCACTGATCTATCATCAAATGGCTTTTGTTTTCTTCTTCCTTTTCTGTACCTTCGGTGTCTTCTCTTCTGTTTCAGCCATTGCTGGCACTGATGTGAATGACCACCATTGCTTCATCCGTTTGCCATCAATAGGTGCTGGTGTTCGTTCATCGCTGTTGTGTGTTTGCCAAGATCCCTTTGTTCTCCCTCGCCCAGCTCGTGTCTGATGCGAAGTGTTGAGCTTTTACTCTGCTATCGCTGTTGCTGGAGGCTAAGGATGGTCAAAAATCTTCAATCTTGCAACTCCTCTACTCGTGCATCACAGCAAATGTTGCTGTTGGTAAGTGAATTCTTCTTCCTTAGTTTCAATCAGCTTTCTTCTCTTCCTCTTCTTTATTGTTGCTGATTCATGTCTGAAGTTCTGCACCTTTCATTTTGCTAATTTCGTGTGTGGGCATTCTAATGGTTAAAGTTATAGAATTTTTAGTGTGTTTTTGCTGCTGTCCGAAAAAAATACATGGGTGTATAGGAAGAGGAAGCTTGATTTTTAAATTGAAAATTGTGGTTATATAAAGAAGGAGCTGATAGTATGGACGTGAGTTTGTGATTGAAAATGATTGAATTAGTGATATTGTAAGATTTTAGGAAAGCTGAAATTTGGGAGGAAAATGTTAATATTAGATTCATAATTTATGCCCATATAGTGTTTGATAAAATTCTCAGTAGGAGAGTTGGCTTGATTTTGCATTTTTAAAATTTAATTGATCTTTGTAAGAAGTATGCTAGTATGGAAATTATGGATCTACAAATTAACTGATAGATTGCAAAAGAATTTAATTATGAGTTTATATGTAACCATTAAAATTCTTAGGAATTGTAAGGTCATTGGCAAATTGTTGGATGTTTTGAATTGAATGGGTAGAATTAGGGCACCTAAGGTGTTTGGTGCAAAGCTTAAGAGAAAATTTTGCCTCAAGTAAGTGAATTGTTTTGACAGAAGCAAATTGGAGAAGGCTAGTGACATGAATGATAATACTTAGACTAACTTTAAAACATGAATTTTGGTTTTAAAATTTTAAATGATAATGGTTGATTGGAATTGTAGTAGGAGTAGAAGGAAGTTCTTATAAATTAGAGGAAAATTATTAAATTGTATTTACTCATGTCTTTATAGGGTGTGTGGAAGAAGAGAATCTAGATAGAAATTGAAAGAAGATTATTTTAGGAAATTTGAACTTCAATGAGTAACTGAATAACATTTCATTTAATTATTTATTAATAATATTTTATTGAAATATTTTATTTTTATGAATTATGTTAGTTTTAGAAATTTTGGAACAATGATGAAGGACAATTTGATATGTGTATTTATTTTTCTTCAAGAAATATATTTCTAATATTGATGAAGGCATATTTGTTTATTGAATTTTGGAATTTCTTGGTTACACAATTAATGCAAGTTTGTACATTTGCTCTGATGTTTTAATTTAACAAGTTTTAAGATTTGAAACAATTCATGCAAGTTTGGTATTGAGAATGAAAATTTTATTTAAAAAATAATTATTTCTTTCGCATGTTTGAAATGTGATTTCTAAGAGGGCTCTAAATAGAACACTGCTGCGAACGATAGTAATGTTAGCCCTTAGCGCACCATGGTCAATGACTAGCTAGTTTGATTTTCATGAGTTCTGTTCTCATAGTTGTTATTTGTGGATCTCATACTCACGTTTGTTTTCGTGGTTTTGAGCTGCATTTGATTATCATTACTCTCGTGCGTATGTGTGTGTCAACGTTTGTTTAGTAGCTCAGGTTGTGTTTAGTTATTTACTCTCATGGACTATGTGTTCACATTTGTCTTCGTGGAATCAGTCGCATTTGGTTATTTTGCCCTTATGTACTGTATGTCCATATTTGTTACTTGTTCTGTTAAGTCCTCAAAATTTTAAATTTTTATTAACTTGGGTATCTGAAATTTCATTGCTTTTAGTTGGTAAGTGCACTACTTTGATTTACATATGAGTAATTTATTTTCTTCAAGCATGATAGAATAAAGCAGTTTTAGTCCACTCTCAATTTATAGTTATGATCATGATTTACAGATTTATTAAGTTTATTATATTGAATTGTCACATTTTCAATTATTTTACATAATTATTTGAGTCTATTGTTTTTACTCTTTTAAATTTTATCATATTATTTAGAATGCTATTCACTAAAAAATATTTTAGTCTCAGATTCATTAGTTGACACTGGACCTCCTCTCGATCATTAAGGGGCTTACAACTAAGCTGGGTAATATTTGTCTTTGGAAATGCCTTTTCTTTTGATGTAAAAATTAAATGATGTATTTTATTTTGAGATTATGTTTTAGGTGCTATACGTTAATTATAAATAGGATCCTGATTTTATATTTTTTTAATATTGTCTGTCTATTATTGGGGAATGTAGTTCCAAACTATTGATTGCATATAGTAATATTTTTTGTTGTAGAGATTTCGGGAGATCCTATCTATAAGGGGGGTTTTGTCAAAATTTTTACAAAAAAATATTGAAAATTTCATTATAATAAATACTATTAAGAATGTCATAATTTCAATATAAATCTAATTATGTTTTGAAAATTAAAAAAATTTCTCAATTTGAGACTTAAGGAATGTGTGATATAGTTTGCATCTCATGCTAGTCATCTTCTACTTTTAGAGTGTGACAATGTATGCATGTGTGTGTGCACATATATATATATATATATATATTGAATAATAGTACCTTTAAAAACTCCTTCCTTCCTTCTTTTCCCTCACTTAAATGTCCACCTCATTCCTTCCCTTATTTGAATGAAGCACCGTGAAATTGGCATACTATAGGACAAGGAAGAACAAGAGTCGAGGTTTAATGTACCCATTTTTGCAAAACAAGAAGCAAAGTAATTGATTCATAAAGCTATTCTTCCAAATATAAATTGTGATAATTCCTACACAAACCTTTTGCCTTCTCTTTCTTGAGTAGATGTTGTATTTCTATATAACAATTTAGGAGGGATCCTTCCACTTGATACTTAGTACCTAGATAGCATTTCTCACTATGCAAAAAAACCAAGAAAATATTTAACTCAAGATACAAAACTGTAGATTGAAGGAAGACAATAACAAGGAAAGAAATGATATTCAAGGACCTTCTATGAGGCCTTCAATGATGCCTCAACTATGATTATATCCGGGTTCATAATGATGATTGAGACCCTATTGAAAAGTTCTTGCTCCACAGAGTTATAGGAAACCTAAGCTTTGATACCAATCCATCACGTCCCGAAATATGAAAGTGACTAGTATCAAGTATGTGTACAAACACACATTCTTTAAACCTTAACAATTTTTTTTACTTTTAAAATCATAATTATATTTATATTTGATTTACAACATCTTTAATGTTCTTCCTTCAAACAAATTCCTTTATATTCTTGTAAAAATTTCTACAAAACTTTCCCTGTAAATAGGACCTTTCAAAAATTCTACAACAAGATATTGAAATAGAAAATCTCAATAATTAGGAGCTTTGCTCCTTCTAACCAACAGACAAAGTATATAACAAAATAAGGATCCTAACTTTGTCTATGTGGAGCACCTAATCATATTTTTCATAATGTAATACATAAATTTCATATTTATATTAATAGGAGATATTTACAAAACAAATCTACACGCAACTTAGAAAAAGAAGTCCTTTAATGGTCAGTAGGACATATAGCATCAGCTAAGTTATCTGAGACCAAAATAACTTTTCAATGAATAACGATGCAACTATAATATTTTCCAAAATCAAACTTAATAGCTACAACATTTACATAAATTGAAGAAAAACAATTCAATGTAAACAAAATTTGTAAACTTGGAATAAAAATTATATATAATTTCAACATCAGTAAACTTTAAATTTATAATGACAAAGCAGCTTTAACATTGGATCTTGATAAGTCAAAATGATTAAATAAATAAATAAATAAGAATAACAATATTTACCAATTGAAAACCATTGAATATACAATCACCAATTAATTGAAAATTCATATTTTTGGGATTTATTAGAACAATTCATAAATATGGACACACAATCCACGAGGATAAATAACTAAACGTAACTTATGCCATGAAGAAAAATGTAGATACATAGTCCACGAGGATAAGTAACAAAACATAGTTAAAGCCATGAAACAAACGTGGATACATAGTCTATGAGCATAAGGCTAACTAAACACAGCTCGAAGTCATGAAAAAAACGTGAGTATGAGGCCTGTGAACAACCAACGTGAGAATGGAGCTCACTAAAACCAAACTAGCTAGTCATTAACCAAGGCGCTAAGGGCTAATGGAAATGTCATTAGCAACTCATGTCCTATATAAAATCCCCTTCGTATTCACTTTCAAACGTGCGAGAAAATAGTCACTATTAAAATAAAAATTTTCATATTCCATTTCAGACTTGCATGAATCATTTTCCATACTAATTTAATATTTGATAGAATAAAATCTTATAATCAAAATTCAAACTTGTGTTTATTGATTATCTAACATTTCAAATTTGGTAAAGCTAATTTTACAATATAAAGTCATTTTAATCAACAAAATATCCCATAATTACATTATTTCTATTAAAATGATTTGTAGAAAAACGTAATATTTTAGTAAAGAAAATTTTGATTGAAAAAAATCAGTTGGGAGTCTATCTACTTACTTGTAAAGTTTTTAAGCGTATAACTTACTTCTAAACTAGTACTAAAGGTCAATGCTTTGTCCTAAAATTTCTAATATTCAAATAATATCATTGTCACTTCCCTTATCATGCTTTACTACCCAAAATATTTAAATCCAAAACAACTTAGAGAGATAAAAGAAAGAAAACCTTTACTTTTATCTTTTTCAACATTGCATCAAATATCCTAATGATATCCCCAAAATGAATATCAAATTGGTTCTTAAATTACTAACTCAAATATCTCTCCTAAAAACCTCTAATTTCTTCTTTAACTTTCATCGTAAAGAACAAATGCTTAACATGATTGTTTAATCAATGAAGGCATATTTGTCATATATATTTGCCACTTTAGATCAAAATCTTCCTTTTAATGCTCAATATCTAAACCATAAAATCAATTTTTTTTTCATTAACTCCCTTTCTAAAGGTTTTCTTATATCTATAATTAATCTATTCACCTCCCAACACCCATCAAAGAGAATAATTATCTTCTAATGATAATTTATTTAATCAACAATATACTCATCGTATATATATCACACTATTATATAACAAAAATCCCTCTTGGTCATATTATCAAACACCTTGTGGGCATTAAACTTCAAATCATTAACAAGCTTCTTCCTATGCGATTCTACTTCCCAAAAATTCTCCAACATAAATATATGAATAAATCAACGTCCCAAGTTCCATTCCTTTAACAAATCAATATAAATTTTAACACAACTCAAGCCCACACTAAATCACCTTAATTAGACTAAAATTTAGCTTAGTTCTACAACCCCTTTTCCACAAACACGTGTAACAAAGGAAGAAGGAAAATTCATAATATTTCATAACCTCAACCCAGAATCATATGCACTTAGCAAAGAGGAGAAAGATTAAAGATTCTCACCTCAAGTAGCTAATGAAACACAAGCAAGGAAGAAGGAGACAGATTGTATGACTGAACAAGGGAAAAATTTGGGTCACTCAAAAATGGAGGAAGATGAAGTCGACGGCACCAAAGAGGGAAGAAGAAGAACTTATAGGACGATCATCCTGCTCAAGCGGATCAAGCTCCTTACACACTTACCGATAGTGCACCATTGACAATGGAGGAGGCAGAACAAAGAATGAAATATGAAGAAGATCTTAAAGAACCCACATAGCAGTATAGATAGAACTCATGCACCTGTCGACGGCTAGCTGACCAGTGGAGGAGGAAGGATAGAGAATGCCAGTGACCAACTGGGATCGGAGAAGAGCAGAGGAGGTGATTTTTTTCTAGATTTCTTTCTCTCTCTCTCATGTCTGAAGTGTCTTGTGAAAGTGAAATGAGAATGGGAAATAAAAAGCTGATCAAGGAAAATTGTAAAAATTACAATAAAAAGCACAAGCAAGAAATGAAACAATGAAAATCACAAGAAATGACATAAATTTTTTCTATAATTTAAAACAAAATAAAATTGAATTTTTGTTTAGTAGAATTCAAACTTGGGACCTTTAAGAAAATTACTAGCAGGAGTTCCAATAATTAACCACTCTCTACTTGCTATAAAACTAATTTAAAATTTAGGGTCATTATAAGGTCTTATTAGTTTAGATGTCTTTCTATTAAATCCATGATCAGGCACTAAATATGGGCACCTCTTTTAGGGGAGATTTGAATTTTAATTAGCCATGTTGTGAGAAAATAGTTCCTTCCACTAAACCCAAGCCCTATTGGTAATTTCCCTTGTCTCTTTTCCACTAAACTAGGAATTAGCCTAGTGAAACTTAAGTCTCCAATTAGTATTGCAAAAGCCCCAGTCAAGATTGCTCTTTAACATTTCCTTTTTCCCAATTAAATCTATCACTAAAGAAATTAAGCTCGAGAAGACAAAAAGAATTTATGCATTATCTCAATTGTTTCATAGATCTCCAATTAAAACTACCCCCACCACTTTTGTCTTCACAAAAAGGATAGGAGTTGAGATCATCAACGATGAGCCAAGGGTTAGAGATGTTATGGGCTTGATAGAATGCCAAAGTAGATCACAGTTGATAGGGTTAGGGTCACCATAAATACTAGAGAGCAAATAAGAGTGATTATTGGTTAATATATTAACCCTATAATGGAATAGCTGAACATTAGAATAAACATAATCAATGTTAATAAAATCATTATTCCATAGAAGTCAGATATGGCCAGTATAACTAGTAGCTTTAACTCAAATCTAGTCAGAGAAATCTAGTATAACATCTTGAACTTTGATCTAGAAAACAAGTTACTAATTAAGGATAAATTAGTAATTAAATGATTGATTATGGTTTTGGATAGTGGATTAATGTGTGTTATTGGTTGGTTAGTGTGTTAATAGGATTGAAAGGCGAGATGACATTCTGAAGTATGATGCGTGAGCATTAGTGAGAGTTATCTCATTGTGCCATGTGCCACAGCATGTGCTACATGTGCCGCGGCGCATGGCATAGAATTTAGATAAATATGATGTGAATTAGCATGTGAGGTAGAGGAGAAAAGAAGGAAAAGAAATAAAGGAGGAGAGGAGAAGGTTTCCTTTATTAGGGCATAAATTTGCTAAAGTTTAGGAGTTTGCTTTGACTAGTGACTTGTCGGGTAAGTTTCGTACTGCCCTACACTATGTTTCTACCTTAATTTTTCTAAGTTTGGTTAATAGAGAAAATGAATCAAGAAGTTTTAAGGGGTTAGAAGATAGGGAAAGCCATTTAAAGGGCTCTTTGGTGTGAAACTAAGGTTTTGTGACTAGTCTAGGGTTTAGTGATTGAACTTTAGAGCTATAGGTTCAAATTGGCCTAAGTGATTAGGTTAATAAAGGTGGAAATGTTGGTTTAATGAGAAAGAAGGATGTTTTGGTCATTTAGATGACCTAAAGGGAAAATGACTATAGGGAATAGATTTTTGAATGCAAAAGGTGTTAATGGAAACATTTCATGTGTTAAGGAATTTGGCTAAGCCAAATTAGTGCCCTATGCGAAATGTTGAGAATTGATTAAGGAATGTTCCTTATGTAGATTAAACATTTGAGAAGTTGCTTGTAGGAATCTACACCCTTGGGAGTTAAATGTGAGAATGGTAACCCTTAGTAGTAACGGTAAAAGATAATCAGAGTAACCCTTTCATTTGTTAGTTTGTAAAATGATTTACAAGTATTTTATATGACTTATGTGCATTATGTTTATTGAAATGATAGAGTAGTAGTATTGCGAAAGAAATATACATGCGTGTGTGTAAGTGATGCTTGCAATGTATGTGAAGAGGCATGCGTATTTGCATCCGTAAGTATACGCTAGATTAGGGTAGGAGGTCATGACCCTGCTCTGTGTAAGGTTAAGAAGTCTTGAAAGGTCCTAAACAATAATGATGATCCACAAAGGAGGACCTAGGACTATATGCATCCACGGGTATATCCAAGATTAGGGTAGGGGGTTATGGCCTTACTCTGTGTAAGGCTAGAAAGTCCTGATAGTCTAAGCGTTGAGTGTGCTATGCTAATAGGGACTCAGGAGACCACTCATATTTTTGATACTTGGTCTGAGATAGTGGCTTGGTGGGCTCTATTTTGTGGAAGGCTTGATGTCCTGGTCTGAGTGTTGAGCTTATTCTACTAGTGGGAGTCTGAAAGTGCATGAGTATAATGGATGAATGAGCGTGTCATTATATGTATATCTATTTATATTGCTCTTTATTGAAATTGATGTTATTTTATCTCTTATATTTGATTTTGCTTATTAATCGATAATTGAGGTTTATCTAAATTACTATGACATATGTCTTACTTTGTTACCTTCTATATATAGGTGAAAAGAGTATAAGAAGGCTGGGAAAGGAAGCGAGAAAGGATTGGTTTATTTGGTAGTAGTATAACGACCTATATATGTAATGAATGTATATTTGTGTTTTAAGAATTTTGGTTGCCAACTAGGATGCATATGAGTATGTGTATGTATATGTGTAGTTTTTGAGTCGTGATGACTTGCTTATATATTTGATATTGCATCTTATCAAGTGTATCACAATGGTGAATATGTGGGTAGGCCTAGATGTTATTCAAGCAAGTGTATGTTATGTTATATAACTTGTTTCACTAGTCATGAATACAAGTTGCTATATGATGTTGTGCATTTATGCAAAGCTTGACTAAATGGTGAGGATTGGCCTCATTTATGTGTGAGTCAACTGGATTATAATTTTCGACCATATGGTGAGGCTTAGCCCCATATGCGGAAGTCAGATGGTTAAAAGTAAAATAAGTATATTTGTGTTTATGTGGTTATGTGGTATATGCCTCATATAAGACTACAAGTGTGTAATGTAGCATTAAGAGGTCAAATTGTGAATATGATGTGATATATGTGATATAATGTGTCAATCAATTATATCTAATCTTTTTTGACTTAGTTCAAGGTTCAAAGTGGTCTAATGAGGCAAGAAGTGAGAATTGAACACTGAAGGTACCTTTTCACACATAAATGTCCAATTTAAGATTGGACTATTAGATCATGTCTAAACTTATCTCATTAGATAGATTATTTTATAAGTTTTGTGTGGGCACTTGAATCACTCTAATCGGACATCAGATGTGAAAATAGCGCGCAGTGTATGTTCGTATCAGAAATTTACCATGATAGCAAAATACAATACATGCATAGTGGCACATGGTGTACAGGCTACCGCACATGTCACAAAGGTAGAGCACTTGCCCTGTATCACATGCCGCGGCCCATGGCCTGTTTTTGAGAAAAATTGTTTATTTATTTTTCTTTTAAAGTAGGTATGAGTTTATGCTTCTATAAGCCCTTTTAATTGAACATATTTTTCTACAAAGTCGGGATCCTGCATTTTAAAAACAAATTAAGGGCTATAGCTTTGATATTGTATTATTGTTATAAGTTAAGGTATGAATGTGTAACTAAAGCCCAGGGTGAAAATTGGGACTTTACACCTAGCTTTTTAACAATATTATTAGCTCTAAGACCACTAGCTCTAATTTCAAGCAAAATAAGAATATGAACATTAAAATATTTCTTGATTTCTCTTATATGCTTAAGAAAACTTTTAGCATATACACCTCTACAATTCCAACAAATTAAATCCATAAGAAAGAAAAGGAGTAGATAAACCTAAAAAAAGATTAAGCTTCTTGGATTTCCAAAGAGTCCTCAATTTGGTCATCACTAAATTCACCCTCCTCATAATCATCATTGTGGACTGGTTGAGAATAGTCTTCATCCAGGAGATCATAATCAAGAATTTCATCTTCATCATTAACTTGAATGAGCTCATTTTGTTTATCATCTAGTCTCAATAAGTTGTTATGAAAATCCATTAGGGAGTCCTCACTAAATTGGGTTTTAGGTACAAGGCTTTAAGAATAATTTGGGTCTGGAGGCTTCCTATGATCAAGTTGAGAGAAAGAAGAAGTTTGAGAATTTTCCTTGACAATATTAGAATCTCGCTAGATTTTTGGATTGGGGGAGAATATGGCTTCATTTGTAGTTTTTCCAAAGTTATTTTTAGGCCTAATCTATTCGCTTATTTCATTTATGGGTTTATCATAAGAGCATAGTTCTCTTTTACCGCCTTTGACCATGTTATGGATTCATTTTGAGGTCCTAAGATTTGTTTTATTGTGCTCAACATCCTTGGCTTCTATTTTGTCTAGGTTAACTTCATTTAGGCTATCCCATTTGAATGCTGGCCCACCTCTTATGGTGTTAGATTGGTTCAGACCTTCATTACGTGCCTTTGCCCTAAAATTTTTGTTTTTCTCCTCTGTTTCTTTTGGATGAGATCTCTTTTCATCTATTACGTCCTTTCTCTTCCATATATTTCTAACATTCTTTGTAGGAGAGGTCATAGGTGGAATGTTGGAGGAAATTTCTTTCTAATTTACGCCATTTGGGTTATCGCCTAAAGTAGTAAGAACGTCAAATCGCATCCTGGATGAGAATCCCTGGTCTTGGTTATGACGTGGAGCTCGATAATCTGCTAGCTATCTCGAGAATCGAGCATTTTTTAGATGTTTATATTTCATCCATTCTCCAAATTCCTTCTTTGGCAAGTTAAGGTTGCTTTCCAACGAATCACTCATTGTTCTATTCTAGTTAGCCTCATTTTCCCTATTTGTGTACTATTGATAGCTATTGCTTTATTGGTGAACATTTGCCCCATACCCCTTAGCCCTATCCTGACCATTTTTATTCTTTGGATTGTGGGGCAGTTGTTTTTTTTATGTACATAGCATCCATAACCAAAGCAAATCAAGTTTAAGATTTCATATTCCACATTATATGGTTCATCTCTGATTAGAAGCTTGGGGACCAATTTTGTTTGGAGGTCCACTTCAACACTAATTTGCATGAATCTTCCCCTTTCTACCTTTCCTTGTTCTTCCTTGGAATCAAATTTGGATATAGAGTTTGAGTCAACTTTTAGAGTTTTTCCTATGTAATTTCCCAATCTACTGAGTATCTCTTTGTTGTTGCATTAAATTGGGACATTTGTGAGTCTAACCTATAAGGCAATTTTCCCTAAGATATTAAAATTTAGGTTGAAGTTGGGTGACTAGCGTTGCACCAGTATACAATGATCAAAAATCATCCAAGGACCACCATAAGTATTCTAGCATAAGCCAATTGATCTTTAGTTCTAATAATATAGTAGCTATTGACAAGATTTATCAGTTCAAAATCTTTTAGTTGCCATATCGTTGCTAACCTGGGATTGAGAGATTTAGGATTGAGGTGTAAGCCCAAAATGTTGATGACTATGGCATCCTTTCAAGGCTGGCATATTTTTTTCCATTCCTCATTAGTGATTTGAAGAGCTAGGTACTAGTCCATAAGCCTTTTTGTTCTTTCAGATGGTGTCCAATTTGATCCAATTCCTTGGCTAGAGGTTCATTTATGTGACTTGCATCTCTCTCAGTGTTGATCCCATAGCACCTATTATAACCAATCAAGGAGTCTTTGTAAGAGGTGGGAGCTTTAGTCCCTTGGAATGATGCTGGTTTGTCATTCTTTTTATTGGTTGCAATGCCAACATTATGTTGTAATTCCATTGGCTAATCAAGATGATTCTTGAACATAATAGGCCTATTAGGTTGAGTCTGATCTTTTGATTATTGTTGCATTATTTTTGGATCCTTGTCATGCCTCACCTCATTTGGCTTTGAATTGTTTCTGAGAAGTAAATCAATATCTTCTTTAGATGGAAGGGGGTTCATCATCTCTTCATGTGATTTGGAAGCATAAAAGATGAAGTTAGAATCAAGTAGCAGCTTAGAAGTCATAGATGAGATCAAGATGATGAAAGATAGATCAAGGAATAAGAGAGAAGACGGATCTTCTCTCCAGGAAACTAGAGAGAGAGTTGAGCTTCTCACTCTCTAAAACTTTTGAAAAATTATCACAAAACTTTTTTTGCTTGTTCCATTCTAGTTGTTACCAGAAGAAAAATAGTCATTGCTTAATACTTTTTTATGGGACTAGAATTGTCTTTTTTTATCATTTTAAGATGGAGGTATTTTAGTCATTTCACCAAAAATTATTAACATCAAAAATTAGAATAGTCCTTAAGATTAAGAAAAATTATGATTTTTCACGGGAGCTCATTATCATTTGCAAGTTTCAAAAGGATTTTTCTATCATCTCTCTTTTTCTAAATGCAAACTGAAAAAAAAAAATGAAAGTAGAACGATATCATATAAAAAAAATATTCTTCTGAAAAATAAAAAAAGAAAAAAGACCGACAATTCACCACTAGCTAATACCTCATTTATAGATCTGGGAGTGTTCTCTCACTTATATACAAACAAATTTGAAAAAGATGACTTAGCAGCAACATAAACAAAAACAAACTAGCATTACATATATATGACCACACACGAAACATCAATGCATAATCAAGTAAGAAACATACAATAGTGCATGATTATTTCATCCCCCAACCAACAGGCAAATTCATATTTTGCTTAGAGAATATTATTGGTAATACCAATAACATTTACTATTACTGAAAGAAATTTTTCAAAATTAAATTTGCTTAGATTTATTTCAAGATCAATCATATTACAAAATAAATTAAATGGATTAGCTATATTATTTATGAAAAGTAAAATATTAGAATTATTTGATTATAAAATTCAAATGTCTGATTTTGCTGATCGAAAAGCTAGAAAAATTACATGAAAATAGATAAATGATAATACATTAGGCCTTTTTATAAATAATTTCATCTTAGGCTCCAAAATTTTTTCACACAGCCTTGCCAACCAAGTGGTTTCAAAAGAACCCAGCAACATTGTAAAATGAAAAGAACCATCTAATGAATTACTCATAGAATTAACACTAGGCAAAGGCAACCACAACTGCTTCAACAAGGAAATTCCAAACATTTTCTTCACTTATCGCAGCTCCAAGGGTTCTTATTAATTCCTGAATCCAATTCTTAAAGCTCTCAAACCAATCCATACTATTTGCAAAACTCTCGTACCAATTATTTTCAGTGCTGCTGATCTCAGACTAATTCATATTTGCAAAGCTCTCGTACCAATTATTTCCAGTGCTGCTGATCTCAGACCAATTCATATTTGTGATGCTTTCGTACCAATCATTTCCAGTGATGTTGGTCTTAAACCAATTCATATTTGTGAAGCTCTCGTACTAATTATTTCCAGTGCTACTGATCGCAGACCAATTCACACTTTTAGTACTCTCCAATAACTCACCTCATTTGTCTTCCTTCTGAGCCAACTCATTCCAGTTTTCGGGCTAGCCCTTCTTCATGTGTGGGTATATGAATCTCAAGAAAACTTATAAATTTAGAGTCCTTGTAATTAATGGTATATATAGAATTTTTTTGTTGGAAAAAATAATAGAAAAATCTCCTAAAATATGCAAATGACAATGAAGTGTAGTGAAATGCTATAATTCTTCCCAATCCTTGGAGACCTTTTTGACATAAACCATTTTTTATGAAATAACTAAAATGCCCCAATTTAAAGTAAAAAGGTAAATATTAGTTATTACTTTAGTTTAAACAATAACTACTTTTCTTCTGACAATACCTAGAATGATAAAAGTAATTACAACTTTGTCC